GGGGCGGGGGGGGGGGGCTCTGCAGCTTACCTGGCTGCTTCTTGCTCTGACTGAGGGCCGCTGGGAGCAGGGGGTGGGGCTTGTTGCCTGTGCCCGCCCCCTGGGCTCTTCACTGCCGGAGCTCTGCTCCTGTGCACTCCTGCAGGAAATGACCCCTGGCTCCTCGTCTTTCACTGCTGTGCTACACCGGTCCATAGGCGATGGACTGGTTGAGTGCGGGGGAGAGGCGGAAAGGGGAGGGGGATCACCCAGAGTCACCTCGCTCAAAGATCGGCACACACACAGAAGAACGTAAGCATAGCACAACTCCTTCCTTGCCAAACGTATGCAAGAAGGGATCCCGGATGCCTTTCCCAGCCCTTCACCATCGCGTGCGGTTTTCTTGTAGGCCAAGCGGAGAGAAGAAATCCTGGCTTTGCTGAGGAAACAACGGGAAGAGAGGATCATGGTGAGACACAGTATTTCTGTTTTCCTAGTGCACCTCTGGTTTTGAGGGAACCCTTCTAACGGGGAGGGTGAAGCCACGGACCATAAAAACTGGACCCTGCCTGGAGTTACATACGTTGTCGGGAACCAGGGGACCACCTTCTCCCATATAAACATCCCATAAGCAATGCTCCCTCTCAGCTGTGGAGTCCTGTGAGCAGGGGTCATTTCGTAGAAAAAGAGGTGCAGGAACTCATTAGCATAACTCATTTGCATAGGCCACACCTCCTGCCATCACCAGAAGTGTGTCAGAAGGCAACACCCACCGCTCAGGCTCCACTGGACTGTTTTGGATGGCTAGCTATTGAGGGGGGGACATGCAGATCTGTCCTCACAGAGGAGGGAGAGCTTGTACCTGAATAAAATTTGGTCTTAAAGGTGCCACTGGACTGTTTTGGACTGCCAGCTATTGAGGGGGGGGACATGCAGATCTGCTTTCACAGAGGAGGGAGAGCTTGTACCTGAATAAAACTTGGTCTTAAAGGTGCCACTGGACTGTTTTGGGCCCGGGGGGAGCTCTGCATCTTACCTGGCTGCTGCTTGCTCTGACTGAGGGCTGCTGGGAGCAGGGGGAGGGGCTTGTTGCATGTGCCCGCCCCCTGGACTCTTTACTGCCGGAGTTCCGCTCCTGTGCGCTCCTGCAGGAAGTGAACCCTGCTTGTGAGGGAAAATCCTCCTTTGTGAGCTCCTGGCATTAAAGTTGTGAGCAAGCGATTTGGCTGCTGCGTAAATTAGCTTGCTCTGGAGCCATCCTTCCTGCGCTAGGACAAAACTGTGAGTCGGAGGCTAAAAAACATGTGAGCTAGCTCACACTAACTCAGCTTAGAGGGAACACTGCCCATAAGTGAGGTTATCTCCCATGACCCAGTCACTGTGTGCAGAAGTTAGGTGGCTGCACCTGTCACGGCACACCAGTTATGGCAGTCCACCTGGCACCCATCTTTCCAGTCCCAAGCAAAGATGGTCCCAGTCTTCTGTCTTTGGGTGTCTGTTTATTTACTTCATTTAAATACTGCCTTTCTGCCCAGTGGGGACCCGAAGGGGCCTTACGTCATTCTCCTCTCCTCCATTTCTTCCTCACAACAACCCTGTGAGGTAGGTTAGGCTGAGAGAGTGCGACTGGCCCAAGGTCACCCAGCGAGCCTCTGGCACAAGTGAGGATTCGAACCTGGGTCTCCCAGATCCGTGTCTGAGACTCCTGACCACTACACCACACTGGCTAGTTATGCTTCAAATGGGGGGGGGGATGAGTTTTTCTTTTTCATTTCTGTTTGCAGAATTTTCTTCTACCTGCTGTGTTCTTGCTTGGTTTTTCTCTGCCAGTTTGGTGTCGTGGTTAAGTGCGCGGACTCTAATCTGGGAGAACCGGGTTTGATGTCCCCACTCCTCCACTTGAAGCTGCTGGTGTGACCTTGGGTCAGTCACAAGTTCTCTCAGAGCTGTTCTCTCAGGAGCAGTTCTCAAAGGAGCTCTCTTAGCCTCACCTACGAGTCATACTGGGTGTTGTAAAAAAGAAGCGGGAGACTGACCAGTTATGAAGGTGCACAGAGTGTTTATATAGTTATAAAGGTGACTGTATACAGAGATATTTACAGGCTACTGAACAGCATGTCGTGCCTTAGTTTATGAGAACTGAGTCCCCCCCAGCTTACTAAGCTGATAGCTATTATGTTAAACTTCAGCCAATCTCTAACAAGGTGATGTAATCACTAGCTCTAACAAGCCCAGAAAGAGCAACACCTGCTAGAAAACACCTGGCTGTAATTACATGATTACTAGCATGACAGCTACGGTAGGTCTGGCAAACCGATCAAACTGATCTATAGTAACTGCTTGCTACCTCTATCACTCTGACATATATCTCAGTAAGTCAGAGGGTGTCTGTGGTGGGGAGGGGAAGGGAAAGGAGTTTGTAAGCCTCTCTGAGACTCCTTTGGGTAGTGAAGGGTGGGGGATAAATCCAATCTCCTCCTCCTCTTCTTCTTCCTCTTCCTCCTCCTCCTACCTGCTGCCCTGTTTCAGATTTATTCCTGAACACAGTTCGAGTCCAGGAGCACCTTTGAGACCAACAGAGTTTAATTCAAGGTATAAGCTTTTGTGTGCAAAACACACTTCTTCAGACAAAATTGAATATTCCAGTATCTGAAGAAGTGAGCGGTGACTCACGAAATCTCACACCCTGCTGCATATTTTGTTAGTCTTTAAGGTGCTCCCGGACTCTTTCTCTTTTGTTCTTTAGAGAACAGGTGAGACAAAACCATTAAAAAGTATTTCAAAATATTGCCATTTTCTGTTCCATTTTACTTACTTATTATCTACAAAAACTTTTAGTCTGCAAGATGTTTTGTCACACCGGGTACTCTGTCCACGAATAAATCTTTTAACAGCTTCAACGTTTGACATGATTCTTATTTAAGGATCCCGTTCTCAGCATCCCTTTTCAACATCCTTATCCTAGGGATACACAAGTATTAACTCTTAAAACGACAACAAAATGCACATTAGGCATATAGCAAATTGTTTGGCATCGCTTTCTGCACTGCTGAAGGGTATACTAGTTAGATGCTATCTTTTTGCCTTATCTGTTAGGTCTATTATGTAATCACACCTTATTTGTCTTAACAGTCAGTGTGCTTGCACACGGGAGCTTATACCTTGAATAAAACTTTGTTGGTCTTAAAGATGCCCCTGGACGCGGACTGCGTTCTGCCACTTCAGACCAGCATGGCTACCCACCAGATTTATTCCTGTAGCTCTTCAAGACCCTTCACCATAGTACTCCTTAAATGCATACGTAGAGAGGTGGTAGAGCAGGATTTTAAGTGCATGAATGCAAGAGGCAAAAGAGCCTTTCTTGGGATCCAGCAGAGCGCAGGTAGGGCAGGGCAAAGGAGGTTGCTTTGGAAGCCACAGACACCAGGACACGATGCAGCCGCGGAAAAGAGCGGGACTCAAGTCCAGTAGCACCGTGGAGACCCCCCACAAGATGTTCGGGGCATGCGCTTTCAAGAGTCGGAGCTCCAGCTCTGACTCTCAAAACCTTCTACCCCAAACATCTTGTGGGTCTCTAAGGCGCTGCCGGACTCGAATCCGGCTCTTCTCCTGCCGACCAACACGGCTACCCTCCCTGTGGGGGGAAGGAGAGCTCTGTCTAAAGCAACCTATTCCTTCCTTTCTCAGAAAGAGGCCGTTTCTCGTCCTCACAAGCCGAAGATGAAAACGGAAGAAAGGTAATGGATATCGCCGTGCCAGCAGCTTTTCCGACAGGAATGTTCAGTCTGGAGAAGAGGAGGTGGAGGGGGGGACAGGGCTGCTCCCTTGAAGTATTTGAAGGGCTGTCACTTAGAGAAGGGCGGGGAGCTGTTCCTGTTGGCGGCAGAGGAGAGGACTTGTAATCATGGGTTTAAATTAAGGGCGGGAAGGTACCGGCTGGATATTAGGAGAGACATTTTGACAGTCGGAGTTGTGCAGCAGAGGAATCAGCTGCCTAGGGAGGCGGTGAGCTCCCCCTCCCTGGCTGTCTTGAAGCAGAGGCTGGATGAACACTTGTCACTGGGATTCTCTGGGCTGATCCTGCATTGAGCAGGGGGTTGGATCAGGGGTCGTTTCGTAGAAAAAGAGCTAGGGGGACTCATTAGCATAACTCATTAGCATATGCCACACCCCCTGACATCACCGGAAGTGTGTCATAAGGCCACACACCCCGCCCCCAACGGTCCCGGCCGCCGCCGCCGGCCTTGCAGCCCCACTGCCGAGCCCCATGAGGGGCCCGGCGGTGGACCTGCAAGGCCGGCGGGAGTGCGAGGAAGCCCCGCGAAGGCCCTCCCTGGCCCCAGGCAGGCAGGGGTGGGGAGAGGCAGGGAGGAAGCAACTTACCCTCCCTCTTCTCCTGCCTCCTCCCGGCTGAATGAGGGCCGGAAGCGGGGCGGCCGGAAGCGGGGGGCGGGGGTTCGTCATGTGCCCCGCCCCCCCCGTACCTCACGCGGGGGAACTGCGATCCCCCGCGATCCCCCCCGAAATGACCTCTGGGTTGGATTAGACGGCAGGTGTGGCCCCTTCCACCAACTCTATGATTCTTTATTCCTTGTTTCAGCTGTTATGTAAACTCATCGTTTTTATCCTTCTGAAGATGTGGAAGCTTTCCAGCATTTCTTTGCATCCGGGTCACTGTGGTGCTTTGCAGGCTCCTGGAAGTTAAAGATGGAACAGCCTGTCTTGGCCCACTGATGCTCACCTGATCAGCAGGAGGAAATAGGGGCCAAAATGGAAGGAAAACATGACCATCTTAAGGAGAAAAATAAGGCCTGGCATGCTTATTTAAAGGCAGTTCTGACCATAGAGTTCCTGGTTATTTCTAGAGCTACCTGGAGGTGATAGCTCTAGGAATCACTGGAAACTTTATGGTTAGGAACTTCTGGTTTGACCGTAGAGTCTCTGGCGATTCCTAGAGCTACCCTTTGACACTCCCAGATGGCTGTAGGAATTGCCAGGAACTCTCTGGTCAGAGCTTCCTATAAGTAAATGAGGCCTTATTTTTCTTTTAAATTTTTCACCTGGGACGCTTCTGTCCCTGACAGCCCTCCCACTGGTGGCCAGGCACTGCTTGGAAACCCGACACACGAGGTCCCCAAGGCACTGAATATCACTGAGGTATGCCACCTTCAACTGCAGTCCCCATGTTAATAATTTCACTAGTCTAGAACATAAGAGACGCCCATGTTGGATCAGGCCAGTGGCCCATCCAGTCCAACACTCTGTCACACAGCGGCCAAAAATACCAGGTGCCATCAGGAGGTCCAGCAGTGGGACCAGGACACAAGAACCCCTCCCACTCTTCCCCCTCCCAGCACCAAGAATACAGAGCATCACTTGCCCCAGACGTAAGAACATAAGAGAAGCCAATGTTGGGTCGGGCCAATGGCGCATCTAGTCCAACACTCTGTCACACAGTGGCCAAAAAGACCAGGTGCCATCAGGAGGTCCAGCAATGGGACCAGGACTCTAGAAGCCCTCCCACTGTTGCCCCCCCCCCAAGGACCAAGAATACAGAGCATCACCTGCCCCAGCCTGTGAGTTCCTATCTATACCGTGTGGCTAACAGCCACTGTGGGACCTCTAATTCCCTCTTGAAGCCGTCCATGCTTGTAGCCACCACCACCTCCTTTGGCAGTGAATCCCATGTGTTAATCACTCTTTGGGTGAAGAAGCTGGTTGTTTCCCATTCTGTGTTTATAGGAGGGGCATGTCTCTGGCTTGCTGCCAGCGACCAGGGGTCAGAGTTGGCCTTCGGCTTGACTGGTACATTGGTGTTCCCTCTAAGCTGAGTCAGTGTGAGTTAGCTCACAGTTTTTTTAGCCTTCAGCTCACAGATTTGTGTCTTAGCTCAAGGAGCACAGCTCCAGAACAAACTAATTGATGCAGCAGCCAATTCGCTCACTCACAACTTTAATGCCAGTAGCTCACAAAGTGGGATTTTTGCTCACGAGACCCCGCAGCTTAGAGGGAGCGTTGTTGTGCATGCTGAGCCCCTGCCTCTCTGGCTGTCAAGTGTGGCCTCCCGAGCAATCCACACACTGTTTTCTTTTTTTGCAACGGAGCATCTGTAAAAACATCCTGTCTTGGCCCCTGTCGGACAGGCAGCAGAGAAGATTCTAATCTGCAGCCTGCGCCTGAGGCCCAAGTTGAAGGTCACGTCACTGTTCCCGTCAGACACCAACAAAACACGGCGATGTTGGCGCTCTGTATCTGTCAGACAGCAGCGGTGGCATTTTGTGTTTCTCCCGTGAACAGCGTCCCACAGAACACAAAACACAGCTTGAAGTTTATCACCCTGATCTTGCAGCTAAAAAACATCTCCTCTTTGTTTGTAAGAGAGACAGGAGAGCTGGCAGCTTTGTAGCAAAAAGAAACGCTTTCCTTATCCTGCACGTGATAAAATGGGCACATGGGCTATTAGCAGTGGGCGTTGTGCTGTCTGACGGCAGGCCTGAAAATGAGCAACAGGAGGAAGGAATAAAGCCATATGACTTTGAAAGCCATATTTGAAAGGGAGAAAAAAAAAGACCCTTCCTTTCTGGAAAAGCTGACCTGGTATCTCACTCTCCTTAACTCAGCAGTTCCTTCTTTTTTTAATGTGTTAATTGACAGCATTTTTCTCCGACATGACAACTTGTGACCCGCGAGGAGGCGGAATTCTGACCTAGCTTGTTACATTATTAAAAGCTGTTTTTAAAATGTTGGCACGCTTTCTGCTTCCCCTTAGCATATGGAAATGTCTAGGCACATCTGTCTATGCAGACTCGCTTGGAGGCTTACAGTGGGGCGACCTGATCCATGACAGGGGAATGGTTGTGGCTCCCCGCTTCTGAGAAGCCCTGTGATATAATGCCACGTTCTGTGCAGATTATAAGCCTCCGGTCTGACACTGTTGGGAACCGGGGTGTTTTTTCCTGCTTCCCCAACGTGGCTTCCGTGCCCATATTTAAAATTAGATGGAGAGAGAGAGATCTGTTCCTTAGTAGAGTAGTGATTTCCCAGAGGTGGGGTTGGAAGCACATTGCGAGATGTTTGTCAGTCTGTTCAGCACGTTCGTGGAAGAAGATTCTAGCTGGGAAACTTTGTCCAAAAATAAAAAAAGAGAATTCCTGGCGATACATCCTCTTTATCATTTGGGATCTGAACTCCTGGGGGTACATCCTCTTTATAGTTTGGGATCTGCGCGGGGATAGGGTTACCAACTCTGGACTGGGAAATTCCTGGAGATTTGGGGGTGGACCTTGGGGAAGGGGAGGGACTTCAACGGGATATAATGTCATAGAGTCCGCCAACAGATAAAAGGAAGCACTTCTTCACCCAAAGAGTGATGAACACATGGAATTCACTGCCACAGGAGGTGGTGGCTACAAGCATGGACGGCTTCAAGAGGGATTTGGAGAAACATACGGAGCAGAGGTCCATCAGTGGCTATTAGCCGCAAGGTATAGATAGGCACTCTTAGTCTGGGGCAAGTGATGCTCTGTATTCTTGGTGCTTGGGGGGGGCAACAGTGGGAGGGCTTCTAGTGTCCTGGCCCCACTGCTGGACCTCCTGATGGCACCTGGTATTTTTGGCCACTGTGTGACAGAGTGTTGGACTGGAGGGGCCACTGGCCTGATCCAACATGGGCTTCTCTTATGTTCTTATAGTATTAACCACGGCAACGGATGTCCCAGGTAAATCTCTGTTTCGACCCTTCATCAGGCCATAATCATATGGTAAAGCCAGAAGCCTGGAGACGCTGAACCTGGTACTAAGCTGGACCCCCTGATATCAGATCTTCACTCACCCAGGAAAGCGTTGAAGGGACTATTGGAGCAGAGGTCCATCAGTGGCTCTTAGCCACAATGTACAGATAGGAACTCTCAGTCTGGGGCGAGTGATGCTCTGTCTTCTTGGAGCTTGGGGGGGGCAACAGTGGGAGGGCTTCTGGAGTCCTGGCCCCACTGCTGGACCTCCTGATGGCACCCGGTATTTTTTGGCCGCTGTGTGACAGTGTTGGACTGGATGGGCCATTGGCCTGATCCAACATTGGCTTCTCTGATGTTCTTATGTTGTTATCCAAAGAAGCACCAATCTCTGTTATCTGGCGATTAGGTGTGATTGCAGGAGATCTGGAGGCTGACAACCCTAGACAGAGGGTAGGCTTCAGTAGTTTTCCTGCCCCAGCTTCCCGGCAGCGGCCCCCACCCCAGGGGCTTTCCCGGGGTCTTCTTTTAATTGGCAAAAGAATATTGTTGTAACAATCTGTGTATCCGGATCTCTCAATGCCCAGCTTTCGGTTCTTAAAAAAGTAAGTTTCTAGTCCTCTGCAACCAGATTTTGTCTTCCATGGCAGTGTTGTTGTTATGATCCATGCGCTGACGGCTCCATCCTCTTTGTCCGTCCTTCCTTGCCTGGCTGTTCGTGCCCCATTGGAGCTCAGCTGCGTCCTCAGGCTAAATATAGCTGAAGCTGAACCGTCCGTTTCCTGCGTAGCTCTTCCCCTTCCCTGCGCCACTCATGGAAATGGCCTTTCACTCCAGCGGGGCCCAAACTCAGCAGCAAGGAAACCAGTTCAAGTGCACTGTCGCATTGGGAAGCTTTGGGCCACTGGAACAAAGACCTCTGTTGTGTCCGCTGACCGCCACCGGGGGCCAGCGAATACCCCAGAGCTTGACTCTGGGAGAACAATGGAAACTAGGCTCCTAGTTCTCCACTGGGGGAACCAATAGGACCATGGCGGGAGATTTGAACCCACCAACGGGACCTAGGGGTGTGCCCCAGGTGTGTATATAGTTGGCCAGCCGGCCGTTTGTTTTTGTCTTGTTGTGTACCAGTAAACCATGCTGATCACTACATCAGCCTCTGTGGTTTCTTCATGCGTTTAACCCACTACACTTCAACCTCCTTCCTGACAGTGCGGATTGGGGCTGAGCGATGCCGTGGGTCAGAGTGCCGGTGACGCATTGGACCTGTTTATGCAGAGGTTCCTCGGCCCTTGTCGTCCGTCTTGCATGATCTCCTTGTCCACCTTGCATGACTGCCAGGCTCCCTGTAAAATTCTGAATCCTTCGAATCCGGACATGATAGAGATATATAAACTTATGCATGGGGTGGAGGAACTGACAAAGAGAAATGTTTCTCCCTCTCCCAAAAGACTGGAACTCGAGGACATCCAATGAAGCTGATGGGCAGTAGGTTAAGGACGGACTACAGGAAATACCACTTTACACAGGGAGCAGTGTTCCCTCTAAGCTGAGTTAGTGTGAGCTAGCTCACAGTTCTTTAGCCTTTGGCTCACACATTTTTGTCTTAGCTCAGGAAGGTTGGCTCCAGAGCAAACTACTTTATGCAGCAGCCAAATCACTCGCTCACAACTTTAATGTCAGTAGCTCACGAAGTAGAATTTTTGCTCACAAGACTCCACAGCTTAGAGGGAGCATTGACAGGGAGTGATTAAAATGTGGGATTCGTTGCCAGAGGGCGTAGTGATGGCCACAGGCATAGATAGCTTTACAGATAGAAACACCAGTTTGGTGTCGTGGTTAAGTGCTCGGACTCTAATCTGGGAGAACCGGGTTTGATTCCCCACTCCTCCACTTGCACCTGCTGGATGACCTTGGGCAAGCCATAGTTCTGGCACAGCTGTTCTTGAAAAAGAGCAGTTTCTGTCAGAGCTCTCTCAGCCCCAACTACCTCACGGGGCGTCTGTTGTGGGGAGGGGAAGGGAAAGGCGTTTGTAAGCCGCTCTGAGACTCCTTTGGGTAGTGAAGGGCGGGATATAAATCCAATCTTCTTCTTCTAAAGGGATGAGATAGATTCATGGAGAATAAGTCTAATGGCTCCTAGCCATGGTGACTGAGGGGACCCTTCACGTTCAGAGGCACTAAGCCTCTGAATCCCAGAGCCAGGAGGCAACACCGGGGGAAGGCCTCAGCCTCTATTTCCTCTTGTTGGACCTCCAGAGGAACTGGCTGGCGATTGTCTGAGACAGGATGCTGGACTAGATGGACCACTGGTCTGATCCAGCAGGGCTCTTCTGATGTTCTCATCAGGGGAAGGCCTCAGCCTCTCTGCCATGTTGTTGGCCCTCCAGAGGGACTGGCTGTGAAACAAGATGGTGGGCTAGATGGGCCACTGGTCTCATCCAGCAGGGCTCTTCAGATGTTCTTCTGAAGCCCTCGGCCTCTATGCTCTCTTGTCGGCCCTCCAGAGGAACTGGTTGGCCCCTGTGTGAGACAGGATGCTGGACTAGATGGAACACGGGTCTGATCCAGCAGAGGTCTTCGGAAGTTCTTATCAGGGGAAGGCCTCGGCCTCTGTGCCCTCTTGTTGGCCCTCCAGAGGAACTGGTTGACCTCTGCGTTAGACAGGAGGCTGGACTAGATGGACCCTCACTGGTCTGATCCATCAGGGCTCTTTTGAGGTTCTTATCAGGGGAAGGCCTCGGCCTCTCTGCCCTCTTGTTGGCCCTCCAGAGGAACTGGCTGGCCACTGTGGGAGACAGGATGCTGGACTAGATGGACCATTGCTCTGATCCATTCGGACTCTTATGTTTTTCTGTTCTCTAGCTCTGAATCTCTAAAGCAACCCCTAATCACTTTCTTGTGGAAGTCATTCCAGAATCCCCTCAGTCCTACCCTGGTATTCAGAGGGTTTGTCTTCTCTGTCTGCTTTAAGCATTTTTTTTAATATGGCGGATCTCCTGTGGTCACATCCAGCTTTACTCTGAATTACGGGGCCAAACAACGTGGTTGGGTTTTTAACAAGTTGGGTTTCACTTTTAAAAAGTAAAGAGGAGCCCAGATAGAACTCTGCTGCTGTCGAGCGAGGGCTTCTGCCACCACCCCCCCAGCCATTTTCTCATGCAGAAAGTGCCGGGGGGGGGGGTTGTCATTTCCAGAGTTTGCTCCTCTGTGTGAAATAGTCTGTGCACGTGGTGCTAATGGAAACTGCCATCAAGTCACAGCCAACTTTTGGCAACCCCTCATGGGGTTTTCAAGGCAAGAGACATTCACAGGTGGTTTGCGGTTGCCTGTCTCTGCGTAGCAACCCTGGGCTTCCTTGGAAGTCTCCCATCCAAATACTAACCAGAGCCTACCCTGCTTAGATTCCAAGATCTGACGCGATCAGGCCAGCCCGGGCCACCCAAGTCAAGGCATTCTGTGTATGTGGACCCTGTTAAAAACCTGAAACATGTAGTTTGGCCCTCAGAGTTATGTATTCAGGTCTTGCTGAAATCAGTCCCCCATCTGGAGTATGGGGATAATACCACTGGGCCACCTTGCAGGACCATTTCAAGGATCACTGGGATAACTTTGAACAGTTCTTATGTATTGGGACTGGAACATTCCAGGACTGTTTCTACCAGAGACTGGCTGAGCTTGGAGCTCTAGAACAATAGCCCACCAGGACCCTGGAGGTGGCCAATGGGGAATTAATGTTTCTTTTTTAAAAAACTGTTTTATTTACGGGAATTAATGGTTCTGACAATGGCCTATCGTTGGTAGTTGTTTGGGGAAGTGGGTGGAGTTGCATACTATTTAAACAGGGCAGTTGCCCTGGGCTTTTTGCTTTCTGTTCTTGCTGAATCACTAATAAAGGAGGGCTGATCGCTAGGCTTGGGGCCAGACCTTCCATGGAACCCAGTATTTAACAGCAGTAAAAGCACTAAACAAATGCTGAACGTTCGTAATCTTGGGTAGTCCGTTTTCCAGTTGATTGTGCTGAAATCGGTAAAATTAAACTAGCCTTCGCAGCCACTGAATATGTATCTTTCATATGTTTTCTGTTGTTTTCCAGCAAGTTAAAGGTACCAGATTCTGACGCAGAAGATCAAGAAAGTGTCAGAGCGTTGATTTGAACAATTTCGTCCAAGCGAGCGGCTTGGAGAGAGAAGCGGTTGTCCCGCCCCTTCAGGAATCCTGGTCCTGTTACACTTTGGCTCTTCAGGCATACAGGACCTTGTGAATTCCCGGCCAAACTCTCACCCTGGGCAGCTTACCAGAAGCTGATAGAGGCTTCGATTCAGACGATAGATTTCTTGGTCTCTGGAGTCAAAGAAAGTTCAGCAAGGCATAGTATAGTAATTCAATTACACCGGTTTTGAAATACAGATCTTAATTGCAAACCGAAGTGTGGTGTTACTGGTGATATTTTTGGCTCGTGACTGGTGTACCTGAAAGAACGTAGAACGTCATCTCCCATCTGTACCTGCTCAGGAATTAAGATCAGCAGGAGAGGCCCTCTTGACTGTTCCACCAATCAAAGAAGCTCGTCTGGGGGGTACACGAGAGAAGGGCTTTTCAGTGGCAGCCCCTCGGTTATAGAACGGCCTCCCCCGAGAGGTGCACCTGGCCTCCTCACTTTCCATCTTTAGGAGGCGGCTGCACTGCATTTGGTTGATTTACTAGCAGTATTGAACTGATTTAAAAAATTTAATGGATTTTTATGCATTTCATTTGATGTATTTTATGTATATAGAATCACAGAATCATAGAGTTGGAGGGGACCTCCAGGGTCATCTAGACCGACCCCCTGCACAATGCAGGAAATTCACAAATACCTCCCCCCCCACAGACCCCCAGTGACCAATGCTCCCTCTAAGCCGCGGAGTCCTGTGAGCAAAAATTCTACTTTGTGAGCTACCAGCATTAAAGTTGTGAGTGAGCAGTTTGGCTTCTGCATTAACCAGTTTGCTCTGGAGCCCTCCTTCCTGAGCGAAGACAAAAATCTGTGAGCTGGAAGCTGAAAAACTGTGAGCTAGCTCACACTAACTCAGCTCAGAGGGAAAAGTGCCAGTGACCCCTGTTCCGTGCCCAGAAGATGACAAAAAAAACCCTCCAAGATCCCCAGCCAAATTGGCCTGGAGGAAAATTGCTTCCTGACCCCAAAGGGGTGATCGGCATTTCCCTGGACAAGCTCCGTAAGGAAGAAAAGTGGCTAATAAATGTTTTCAGTAAGTAAATCCTGAGAAAAGAAGAAGAGATTGGGTTTATACCCCACCCTTCACTTGGAATCTCAGAGTGGCTTACAACCTCCCTTCCCTTCCCCACAACAGAGACCCTGTGAGCAATGCTCCCTGTAAGCTGTGGAGTTTTGTGAGCAAAAAATTCTACTTTGTGAGCTACTGGCATTAAAGCTGTGAGCAAGCGATTTGGCTGCTGCATAAATTAGTCAGCTCTGGAGCCGTCCTTCCTGAGCTGAGACAAAAACTGTGTGAGCCGGAAGCTAAAAAACTGTGAGCTGGCTCACACTCACTCAGTTTAGAGGGAACGCTGCCTGTGAGGTAGGCGGGGCTGAGAGAGCCCTGACAGAAACTGCTCTTTTTCAAGAACAGCTCTGAAAGAACTTGCGACTGACCCGAGGTCATCCAGCAGCTGCAAGTGGCGGAGTGGGGAATCAAACCCAGTTCTCCCAGATTAGAGTCCATGCACTTAACCACAACACCGAACTGGCTCTCCACATCAAAGTGGCTCTCCAGAAAAGACCACACCCCCTCAGGAAAAACCCAGAGGCAGTGAATGGGGCCAATTTGGTTTTTTGTTGTTCAGTCGCACAGTCGAGTCCGACTCTTCGCGACCCCATGGACCAGCTCCCGCCAGGCCCTCCTGTCTTCCGCTGTCCTCTGAAGTTGGCTCAATTTCATGTTCGTTGCGTCGATGACACTGTCAAACCATCTCATCCTTTGCCGTCCCCGTCTTCTTTGACCTTCAATCTTTCCCAGCATCAGGGTCTTCTCCAGGGAGGGCTCCCTTCTCATTTGGTGGCCAAAGTATTTGATTTGGTTACAGTGTAGTAATTAATAGGAATGAAACAGTAGGACTGTGGGTCAAATCGTCGTGCTGCTGTGAAGCTCTCTCGGGTGGCCTTGGTCCCGCTGCTGTCTCTCAGACTGGTCTACCTCACAGTGTTGTTGTGCGGATAAAAGGGGGCAAGTTGAATAATCGGGTATGCTGGCCTGCATTTGCTTGGAGGGATCAAAGTAAATAAATAGACCCTAATTGGGGCAGGGCTGCTGCTGTGGCTCAATGGCAGAGCATCTTGGCGTGCAGAAGGTCCCAGGTTCGATCCCTGGCATGTCCAGTTAAAAGGAGCCAGAAGCAGGCAATGAGAAAGGCCTCTGCGAGAGACCCTGGAGACCCATTGACAGAGTACACAGAACTGGTCTTGATAGACGAAGGGTCTGCTTCAGTATTGTGCAGGCTTATGTGTTCAAATAATGTATCTTCAAGAAAGTGTCTCTCCACCAGACCAGGACAATACATGTCCCCTCGCATGGAAATAGCCATTCCTTGAAGAGCAGATTTTGACTCATTGCTCTTTCTGACAATCCAGGATAGCCCAGTGGTTTTTACCGAAACTCTCTGCTTCAGCACTACAATTCTTCTAAGCAGAACAGATTTAGAGTCCGGTGGGGGCACCTTTAAGACCCACAAAGGTTTATTCAAGGTAGGCGCTTTCGTGTGCAAGGCACACTTTTTCAAATACATTGGAATGGAAGATGAGGTTCTAGACTTATAGACAGGGATTTAACGGCAAATTTAGTTTTTCACTTTGCATAACTTAAACATCATCATGTCACATGCTAATTTGCTGTTAAATCCCTGTCTATAAGTCTAGAACCTCATCTTCCATTCCAATGTATTTGAAAAAGTGTGCCTTGCACACGAAAGCGCCTACCTTGAATACACCTTTGTGGGTCTTAAAGGTGCCAACTGGACTCTAAATTTGTTCTACTGCTTCAGACCAACACGGCTGACTACCTGGATAACTCCTCTAAGTGTGCATGTGTCCAGAAGAGGGCAACCAGGATGGTGAGAGGGTTGGAATCCAAGTCTTATGAGGAAAGGCTGAAAGAGTTGGGTCTGTTTAGCCTGGGAAAGAGAAGGCTTAGAGGGGACATGATTGCAGTCTTCAAGTATCTGAAGGGCTGTCATGTAGAAGAGAGGAGCTGCGGTGGCTCAAGTGGTTAAGACGCTGAACTGCAGGCTGTGGAAGGTCAGTAGTTCGAGACCCGGGTGCCGCATGACAGAGTGAGCTCCCGTCTCTAGTTCCAGCTCCTGCCAACCTAGCAGTTTGAAAGCAAGAAATTGCAAGTAGATAAATAGGTACCACTTTGGTGGGAAGGTAACAGCGTTCCGTGTGCCTTGGTGTTTAGTCATGCCGGCCACATGACCATGGAAACATCTTCAGACAGCGCTGGCTCTTCGGCTTTGAAACGGAGATGAGCACCACAACCCTAGAGTCGGACTTGACTGGCTTTCGAGCAAGGGAACCTTTACCATGTAGAAGATGGAGCGGATCTATTCTCTCTTGCTCCGGATTGCAAGACTAGATCTAATGGATGGAAATTACAAGGGAGTCGATAATGGCTAAACTTACTTACTGCAAGAGTGGTTGAGCAGTGGAACAGACTGCCTCGGGCGGGGTTGGATTGTCAGGTTCAATAGACCAACTCTAACATTCTATGAATCTATGTTTGTTTTTGACATCAGTGTTTTGAGCAGAATTGGCGAGTGCTAAATTCACACCGTCGGTCTCGGAACGCAGGGCTGATATTGAGAGTCTTTTAAAAGCATTGCCTCTAGCAATATTTTATCCTTTTAAAATTGGGAGGGAGGGGGATCATGGACCGTACAGGCATGCAGATATTCCATTAAACTGAAGGAGAGGCCTTTACTGTCCATCTTGTTCAAAGCCTCCTGCATTATACGCAAGGACAATTCTTCCCTCTTAAGAGATCCATCACGGCTAATTTGTAAGTGAGCGAGAGAGGCCGAGCGGATACCTTGCAGGGCCTGCTTGGGAAATTACATTTCTTTGTCTCCCTGCCGTCAAACCGGCCATGCAATTGATTCTGCTAAAAGCAAGCATGTCGTAAGTTTCGTCCCTCTGACGTTGAAGCTTCTGATCTGCACTATTAAAAAGATCTATCGCAAGGTCCATGTTAATACTAGACTTTAAAGAATTTTCTGTGACACGCTTAATCAAAAAAAGCCCGGCCTGGCATGCGACGCCCGCTGCCTATTTCCTGTCAAAATCAGCAGAATTGTAATTAACATTTCAGCTCGTCAGCTTCTGCGGGATGGATTCTGATCATTTTTTTTCCCCAAACGGGGGCTGCCAACAAGCGGGTGGCACGCTACCCCTGCTCATAACTCAGGTCCCTGCCTGGAAAACTGCTGACGCTTCTTGCGCGGTGGTCTTTTAATGTTAGCTCTCTGGAGCCATTAGGGAGCTGCATTCCAAGAAACACTCTTCGTGTGTGAACAGGTGAACAGAACATCGGAGGGTCCATCTTCTGTGCCTCCGCAATATTACTAAGAGCAAACGCTCATCGCTCACCGGTGGCGAAACTTCGGTAGCAAAAAAACGTTGCTTGCAGCAGGACTGGCCCCAAGGGGAGATCCCCAAATAAGGACACAAGACCCCTCATGGCCTGCTATTAGGACAAACCGAAATGACTCCAAACCGTGCGAAGGCTTGCAAGTTCGCCAGAACGCTTCATCGGCCAGAATTTTGCAGAAATTAAAAAGAGGCAGTGGGGGGGGGAGAAGATGCCTTTGACCATGGGGGGAGGCCCTGACACCTTTTCTGGCATCTACTAAGTGTTTTTATTCCAGGTTCCTATGCAGTACTGTTCTTTGCAGCATCGGACTTTCCTTTCACCATCAGACCCATCCACAACTGAGCGTCCTTTCGGCTTTAGCCCAGCCGCTTCACTCTTACTGGGGTTACTTGTACTTGCACTCTGCTCTTCCCCAGTAGAGACATCACCCTGCCAACAAAAGTCCACATGGTCAAAGCAATGGTATTCCCAGTAGTCATGTATGGCTGCGAGAGTTGGACTCTAAGGAAGGCCGAGTGCCGAAGAATAGATTCTTTTGAACTATGGTGCTGGAGAAGACTCTTGAGAGTCCCTTGGACTGCAAGGAGATCAAATCAGTCAATCCTAAAAGAAATCAACCCTGACTGTTCCCTGGAAGGCCAGAAAATGAAACTGAAGCTCAAATACTTT